GGGATTGAAAATGAGATCACGAATCGTATAGCAAAAGCTGCGGGCGCTTTTGCTAACCTTCGCCACTTGTGGCGCTTGCGCGACATCACTCTCGCCCTGAAGGGTAGAGTGTACAATGCAGCAGTACGTTCGACCTTACTGTACGGTTGTGAAACCTGGCCGCTTAAAGCAGCGGACCTGAATAGGCTAGTTTCATTCGACCACCGGTGCCTTCGTAAGTTAGCTCAAATCGGTTGGGAACACCGCATGAGCAACGAGCGTGTCCGACACCTTGTTTACGGCACAGGAAAAGGAAATGAACCGCTCAGCACCGTCATTTCACGCACCAGGCTCCGATGGCTCGGCCACGTGTTCCGCATGCCAGCCCACCGACTCCCACGACGTGCGTTGTTTGCGCACCGGGGGTGTGGATGGAAGAAGAGGAGGGGTGGCCAAGCGATGACTTAGTCGAGAGGAATGAAGGCCCTCACTTCTGAGCTGGCCTCGGTTAGAACGTCTCGGCTCCCTGGTTGGGGTCCGAAAGAGGATGAACACGTTTGGTTGGACACACTTGCTGACATGGCAAGGAGCCGACCTCAGTGGCGTTCATGCTGTGAGTCTCTTTGTCCCACCCCATCCCTCTTAGCCTCCCCCTCCAACCACGATCTCATTATTTAGCCCTATATAATTTTGCATAGTAATTTTTTTGATGCGCATTAGCCGGCTGGTAACTTACCGGAACGATGCCCATCCATTACCGGTAGTTCAGCCGGCTTGAACCAGTTGCTTTTTTCTCTCCTTTTTTCTATGTATTGCGGCACAGTAGGCGAGGTGTTCCCCACCTCTGGCTAACGTGTATGATTATGATGATGACGTAATAGGCTAACTACCGCGCGATTTCTTCCAGCTTGGTCCTGTGCGAGTCAAGAGAGCGCGTCGGGGCAGCTGTTCGCATGCCATGCGTAAAACGTGGCCGAGCCATCTTGGCGCAGCGATACCAGTCTGTCAAATGAAAGTCCCGTGTTACTCAAGGTGCGACGTCTAACATCATCGTTGTGCACGTGGCTCATCCACCACACTCCATTGTCAAAGGCCGAAATCCGACGCAAGTCATTCACACGAATCGGCCAGGACTCACTCCTATACAGCAGCACCGCGCGAAAACATGCATTGTAGACCTTGCCCTTTACCAACAGTGAAACGTCACGGCGTCGCCACAGATGTCTCAAGTTAGCGAATGCCGAACAAGCTTTGACAATGCGGAGGGAAATCCCTTTTCGCATGCTACCCTTAGCAGAGACAGCTTCCCAGGTAAACAAAGTTGTCCACTTGCTCAGGCTGCGTACCTTGAAGAGTGATCACTGGGCAGGTGGATGCCAGTCCAGGACTAGGGCTTTGCAATTCGTAGGGGCAAAGGTCATTCTATATTTTGATGCTTCAATTGCCAGGAGGTTTAGAACGGCCTGTGTGCTCTGTGCGGCATCACCAAGCTAGGCAATATCATCAGCATAATCTAAACCGGACACGCGATTGCCAGGAGGAAGCTCCACACCAGAACCCTGAAAGCCCTCGAAAGCGTTTAAAAGGACACGCTCGATCGCAAAATTGAAGAGAAACGGGGACATTGGGCAACCCTGTGGTACAGCGCTAGTGATGGCAAAAGGTGAAGAGAGCTTACCAAAAGCCCTTACTTTACCTGAGACATTGCAATATGATGCTCGAGAGATGGCGATATACTTTTCGGGGACTCCATTCCTTTGTAAACAACGCCATAAAGCTGGCCGATCGACGGAGTCGAAAGCGTCTCGGATGTCCAGAAAAACAACGATAATGGGCTGACAGTAAAGATGACGCATTTCAAGGAGTTGGCGGAGCGTAAACAAGTGGTCTATACACCCTCGACCGGGGCAGAAACCAGCCTGTTCTTCACGGGAGTGCAATTCTCGAACCGGGGTTACTTTGCGGAGTAGAATGGATGATAACAGCTTTGAAAAAGAAGGAAATTATACTGATTCCTCGGTGGTTAGCGCATATGGCACGGGCAGCTTTCTTGAAGATCGGGACGAGAATTGACTCGCCCCAAGAGGATAGAACTGTTTATCCATACCAGATATTAGAGAACAGAGCTGTTAGCTGGTTGACAGTTACTTCGTCCCCGAACTTGGACAGCTTTGGAGTAAGTCCGTCTGGGCCAGCAAACTTGAATCGCTTCGTGTCGGAGCGCAAGGCGGACCTCAGCTTCAGTGGGTGATTCCAATGAAACGTTTCAAGGCGCGCAACTAGGTATACTCAATAGGCTCGCCGGCGGAGGTGGCCAGCTGAATTGAGTGCGGAAGTGTTCAGCCCAGCGGTCCATACGTCTGTGTATGTTACTTATTGGCGTTCCATTAAGCTCGCAAATGACCTCGCTGACACCAGTTCTTTTGTGACCCGTGACTCAAATGAACTCGAAGAGCTTGCGAAAGTTTCCAGAGAGGACTGCCATTTTCATCTCCGAGGCGCACTGGGACCACCAAGTTTCGCAATCAGCACGCAGGCTTCCCTTAAGTTTTTGACTGAGAGTGTGACGCATTGTGTTGCTATTTGAAGCGCGCGGGGTAGCTCCACGACGAACAAACAATTTCAGTGTGTGTGTGTGTGTGTGTGTGTGTGTGCGAAAATTCAGTCCCTCAGAGAGCGCCTTGTGATTCCGCAGATTGAATGACTGGAAGTTAGCATCGCTCCACGCAGGAAACTCCAATGATTTTCGATGTCCCGAGATGGAGCACTAATGAATGCATGCGATAAAAAAGCTTGATAAGTTGATCGAGTACAGAGGTCAGCTAACTTGTTGGTGTCGAGTGTATGGAGGTTTCAATTTGAGGAGCCGCCGAAGGCTCTTCAGGTATTAACTAGTAATCTAGCAGAACCACTGGCGGTTTTCTATCAATGATGTCTAGAGCAGAACCATAGAGGACGTAGCCGCACTGACTCTGATAACTACCGTCCAATAACGCTACTTCCTGTGCTATCCAAAGTTATGGAATCAATCATCGCAGATGCGTTGATGCAGTATCTGGAAAGCCACAACTTGATAGCCCCAGAGCAACATAGTTTTCGTCAAAAGCCGGTTGCCGAGTGGTCTGCGCACTTGGTTTGCAACCACAATATCCCCGGTTAAAATCCGCGTAGGGGTGCGCGTCCTGGCGGTACACACAGCCCGCGCGCGACTGGTGGTGGTCGCGCGGCAGCGAATCGCCGTTACGGTGTACAGTTGGCACATTATTATTCCCGGCTGTCAACGGTCTTCGTTAATCGTCCCGCTGCCTTGCGGGTCAGGTCTTTATAACCAAAGGCTCGGGGTGGGGTCCCTGAACTCAACCCTTTTCCTCGACCTGGGCAACCGGGAAGATCTCTGCCCACACAACGTATGGACCTAAAGCTTCTTAACCCTCCTACTGATTGCGTGTTTCCCCTTTTTGTCGTTAACTATGTGTTGTGACTTCCAAGTGTATACTGGTCAAGTGTTGAATGATAAAATAACCTATTAATTGCATGTAATAGCTGGACTGAAGCCGTTGATGATGGAGCAGGAGTCGATGTCATCTACCTGGATTTCTCAAAAGCGTTTGATCGCTTAGACCATCGAATTCTCCTTCAGAAGCTTCATAAATACGGCAATGGCGACCCAATCCTGAGTTGGATTAGCAATTTTCTACGCGAACGACGGTTGAAGATGAGAGTCCGGGAAATTCTGTCCGATGCAATCGATGTGGTGTGTGGTGTATCACAAGGCTCGGTGCATGGACCTCGTCTATTCTTTATGTTTATTAACGATTTGCCTTCCGATCTCATATTTTTCGCGGATGATATCAAGATATGGCGAAGGATCAGAGGACCGAACGACCACGAATGGCTCCAGTGCGATCTTAGCACGGTGTCGAAACGCCTTACCATTCAACGTAGACAAATGCCGCGTTGTGCAATTACGCCATAGTTATGACTGCACGTATTTGCTTGGAGCACACGGATTGTAGACCAGCACCCAATAACGTGAACTTGGTGCGCTCGTATAGAGTGACCTCAACTGAGGCTAAGGTAGCTACGAAAAGAAGCAACCAGCACGTCGGTATGCTGCGAAGGGCATTCGGGATATTTGACCCATCAATCTTCCCAATGATGCACAATTCCTACGCGCGCCCGCATGTTGAATACGCTATCCAAGCTTGGCAATCTTGGTTGAAGCGCGACCTAGAAGCGATAGAGACACCACAACAAAGAGCAACAAAGAATGTAAAAGGCCTGCGCTAGCACTCTTACCACCGAAGGCTGAAGTTGCTGGGAATTTTCAGCGGGCGCTATCGAAGGCTGCGCTGCGATCTCATATTAGCGTATCAGATATTGAGTGACCCCAACCAAGTATGCCGCCATTTGCTGAAATTTAGCCACAAAACGCAGCTCAGGGGCAACAAGTTGAAATTGAGGGAACAATATAGCCATCTAGAGTGTCGAGGTAATTACTTTTCTCTTCGGCTTTGCCAACCCTGGAACGCACGCCCAGGCTCAGTTGTATCCTCTCCTACCTTGGACGTTTTCAAAAAACGATTAGATGTTGTTCTTAGCTCCCAGCATTTTGTTACCTAAACTCCTCTGTTGTGGATTACGCCAAGCATGCTTTCCACAGGATTTATGTATCAAATGGACCCAAGTGAGCTACCATATTTTACTTTTCTCGATCACTGCACCCCAGTGTCTTTCTGAACGTTTACGCTCTATTTTTTTATTTTACACTGTAATTTATCAAAGTATTCACCTAGGCAGACGTTCAGTAGATGACCCAGATATATTTTGATTTCATCGTATACACCCCAACCATCCTACAGGACGTGTCAAGCACTTGCTTTTATCCCGTAATAAATCATTGTTCATTGTTCAAATGCAAAACGCCAAACATACTCATTGCTCACGCGGTGCTCCCACCAGATATGAGCCAAAATGCGATTCAGTTTGGTAAACTTCCTCATTTTTACCAAGTCACTTACCTGTACCGGAGCTCCCGATGCCATCGTGTTTTTGATGCTCTTGTGGAGCTAACTCAGGAACCAGGCAACCAAATATGAGGAGGTTCCACAGGTTGTTTATAGCGGTCTTCAGTGAGTGGGACTGTGGACCTCCCGATCGACGACCAGTGACGTCATCAGTTCCATCGGAAGTTGTTGATACATCCCCCTCTTTATCGCCACTTGCTGGTTCTGGGTTTACTTTGACTGCCTGATATGCACTAACTGCCCGATGCAGTCGTAGTAAGGCGCGGACAAGTTCCAAAGGACCCAGATAGTGACCACGAGAGGACAGAGGTCCCTTCGGTAAACCAAGACCTGAGGGTTTCATTTGTTTTGCGGTAGGAAGAAGAAAGTTCTGCTCCTAAAAGGAACGAATAAAAAGTGAAGAAGGGGATATGACGCGTTTGAAAGCACGGACAATGTAAACACAGTACAACCGACATAAAGTACACGTGATTGTACGATTTGTCGGCGATAAAAAAGTTATTCGTGTTCTATTTAGCTTGGTATTTAGGTCACCATGTGATGGAAACGTAGAGTAAATAAATATACTTTCCCGTTAACTATAAACGCTTACGATATCAATAATTCTTTCAGTGACGGAGCGAAGCAATCAAGCCCATGTTCGACAACTTAGAGCGAGTCCACTGATAGCGGGTCATTGTAAAGAATCCCACTCAGCGCAAATGAACTACAAGGGAGCAACATCATCATCATCATTACACGTTAGCTGGAGGTGGAAAACACCTCAGCTATTGTGCCGCAATACAAAAGGCAAGAAAAGAAGAAAAAACAAAACAACAACTTACTTACTTACTCGCTTACTCAGCCCAGATGTCAGCGCATCTTGGTACACATTCAGAACATCTGACTTCGCAAGCTGGCTAGTGTCAATCCGTTCACATCGACGTTGCGGACGTCCACCGAAACGCATCAGGAGGTCTGCACATACAAGTGCGTGGTCAGAGTCCACGCTCGTGCTCCAAATCGAGCGACAGTTTTGGACACAGCCTCTCCAGCGGTAACTGATCGCGATATGATCGATTTGCGTCCATGACTGGCCCGAGGCTGGTGGCCGCCAAGTCACACTTCTGCGGGTGCTGTGTCGAAAGTTAGTGCTCGCGAGAAACAGGCGAGCGTCTTCACACAGCTGGAGCAATCGCTCACCATTATCATTACGGGAGCCTACACCATGTTGGCCGCCCAGATGAAGCTCATCAGAGGACAACTTTCCGACTTGGGCGTTTAGATCGCCAGCCAACACCACAGTATCCGTACTCCTTCTGTAACGAAGGAGCTCGTGAAGTTGCTGATAGAAATCATCTTTTACCGAATCAGTGCTACAGTTTGTAGGGGCGTAGGCCGCAATGACAAACAAGCACCGTTTGTCCCCGCGCGACTTCGAAGCACGGAACGAACCAGCTAATCTAACGGCGCACATTCTACTGTTTACTGGGATCCAATCAAGCAAGGCAGCTTCAGCCCGGGGACTCAAAACAATGCCGACGCCAGCTTGACCGGCATTTGAAGCTGCATCATCGCCAGATAGGCGCAATGAGAATGTGCCGCCAGTGTCGCATGTGGGGGATCTCAGGGTAAGCACGGAGCTCGAATCTTGCAGGCGGGTTTCTGATAAACAGCAAATATCGATCGATAGGGTCTCTAATGTGCGGGCAAGTGCTGCCTGTTGGCCAATCTGCAGCAAAGTGCGCACGTTGAGGCATGCCAATCTTAGCGAGACACGAGGACTCCAAAGGGAAACGGATGAACTGACGTTGTCCGCTTGGTTGAACATGGACTTGTCGACTGGATTGGAGCGAGGCCCTGCGATTGTGTGTGATTTGAAATTAGAAGACAAGCGACTATTGAAGTAAGCTGGGGGAGGGCCAAGAATTGAGGAATTGAAAATGGGGGGGATATAAGTAAAGTTGGAGCGGGACAATAAGGATGCAGAAGCACAAGAAGGGGTATAAGAAGACGGGAACGCCTGAGCAGTAGCATCCAAACCCCTATCCACCCTGCTCGATGCAGCAGATAGGGCGCCGTTTATTATCCTCTGCGACGGCCAGAGCATCAAGAAATTGTTGTAGGAAAGGTTCATTGTATTGCGTGGGCAGAATACTGTCAGGTTGCCCAGGCCTAGACAGGAGAACGATTAGGGTTCTCAACCAAAGCCTTTGGTTCAAAAACCTTACCGCAAGGCAGCGGGTTTGGCGTTGGGATACAAGGAGCCCGTTTTAAGGAATATGGAGCCACCCTCATTCCAACCCCCAACCTGGAGGACCAGGAGGCTGAGTTTGTCTGGCCTCTAACCATTGACCAATCTGGTATGAGTGGCTCTAAAGGTGCAAAAAAAGCACCACCCAGCATAGCTCAATGGATCTCTGAGGCACGCAAACCATCGCACCACGGTAAGGTCCAGCCTCATTGCGATGGCGAGCGAACGGGGCTTTATACCCTGTACGACTGCCTTGGTAAGGAGTTCGCTGTCGCTGGACACTCCCACGCCTTCACAACGGAAATCAGCTGGACGAGAACAGGTGCGACGATCCACGTGTGCCATGGTTGTGCAGGTCATGAAACAGTGGCCACTGTGACCAGCGTGGATGTAGCACGCGACAAATCTGAGAAAAGGCACACTGGATAATGATGAGGCGCTCAAGACATTGCCTATATGAGCGATGCAGCGAAGAGAAATAATAGGACAAAGCCAAATTGGCCGGGGAGGGGTAGCAAAATCGGGGGCTGGACCTATGGCTGCTCCTCTGAGACTTGTGCACACCCTTTGTGACAATGTGATTGCGCATAATTTACATTCGTTTGTATTTATTACCCAGAGTTACCGGTCGAATCGACGTGAGTGCGTCAGAAGAACTGACACATTTGCACTCAGATGCGTCGTACACAGCTGATGGTCAATTCGAATCTGGTACAATCTATGGTACGGTGGTTAACCTGTAACTCGAGGTAAATGGTTATACTTGAAATTCGTTTCGTTGATACAGAAACTGTGACCGGTGCACAGCTGAAAGTAGAGATTTTCACTCTGCCTTCTGAGAGGATGTTCTAACTCTGATAGGTAACTGACTCCATCAATCATATCGCCCCCAGTGTTCACGATATCCGTAGTTTTGGTCATTCGAGTGATGGAGGAAAGCTGGTGAAAGTACTCAACTTTCACTGCCTTCAAACTGCAGTCGATGAAACCTTGAACTGAACCGACTTAGAAACATCTTGTGTTCAGTCGCTGTCTATCAAGTCAGATGGAGCTTCGAATTCGAGTGGCACACAAGCAGCCGTCCAATGGGGTCCAATACAAAGGAACAGATTTTGCACGTCCGCTGAAGCGTAACGCCAACACTATAACTACCGCGAGTCGCTGACTTAACATCGCTATGTATAAGCCCAGTCATTGGGGCTTGAAACTGCTGTTGAGTGTGCACCTTACAAAGACAGCACAAATTCAAGGGAGCGCAAAGTTATACCGAGTGTTACCTGTTCTGATATAGTGTACAAATATAAAAACCCATGTGAAATGATGCACTGAATTCGAAAGATGATCCAATATCTATGATACGATACCATAGCTGAAATCCGTAATAGTCATTTGTTGGCACCCAGTTCTGTGTCTGTGTAACAACACTGCGACGTGGCGGATGTGACTCGCCACTAAATAAAGTCACTGCCCCTTGTTCCTCCCTGAGAGGCATTGTACTTCAGGAGTGCGTTGGGCTCCTGGTCCTTCACGGACTGAAACGCGCATGAACCATCTATTTGGTCACCGGCTCCCAACACGTTGCGTCGACCCGCTGTCTTGTAGGTTAGATCTTTGATCAAAGGCTCGGGGTATGGCCCCCCTAAGACAACTCTCTACTTCAGCCTGGGCAACCGGGTAGTGTCACTCCCACTGAGGAATCATGGACCACACTGCTTACTACTGCTCTTGCTACGTCTATCATCTCTGCTAACTCAACCGCCACTCACAGATCACTTCACCTCCCGTCCCTCACCTATATGTACTCTTATGTCTTCTACGGTCACCGTCACAAAGGACCCACGTCTCGCAACTGATGGAAATACCAGCCAAACTATCGGTTTTAAAAGTCCTGTGATCGCAACCGTCTCCAACTCCACCGAAGCTCCAGCTCTTTTTCGACCTGGTTCTCTATTCATCCCCGCAGCGTCTAATGTTCAAATTTTGTTGCAGATCGGACGACAAGCATGTCTGGTCCGTACTCCTGGAACGCTCTCGGTAGACATCTGTTGCCTTTCAGAGACTAGATTGCAAGACTCTAGCGCCATCATCAGAATCGCTTCTCCGGTAAACCCGGACGCCAAATACCACTTGCGGCTTTCCGGAGACCCAGAAGCTGCCACCTCTGGCCAAGCTGGTGTTGGGGTTGCACTGAGTGCCAGGGCTGAATCAGCTCTGCTTGACTGGATCACAGTTAACAGTCGGGTATGCGCAGTCCGATTAAGAGGTTCATGTAATGTAAGCAGGTGTCGAGACGTTAAGCGTGCCTTGTTTGTCGTATCCGCCTACGCCCCTACAGAGTGCAGCCCGGATGCAGTTAAAGATAGCTTTTACCAGCAGCTACATGAACTTCTGCGTTCCTCAAAAAGGACTGATATAGTCATTCTTGCCGGAGACTTTAACGCACGGGCGGGCTGCTTTCCACCAAAGGTATAAGTTGAACTATATGCCAAGAGCATGGCACCTTAATCACCAATCTTCAACGACGGTTGAAGCGATGGACCGAACATTTTGGCTCGCAGTTTTGTTGGCCCCCAGCTCCATCTGCTACCTCTGGCGCTCGCGCTGGGGCAGAGTGGTCTACCCCAACAGACCCTCCCTCTTCCCAGGAAATCGAGCAGCAGCTCCACCACATGAAGCGTTATAAAGCCCCCGGCCCTAAGGGTCTTCCTCTAGCTCTATTTAAAGATGGTGGCGCTTCGCTGGTTCAACTCATTGCTCTGTTCTCGAAAGTTTGGTTGAAAGAGGAAGTTCCATCGTTTTGGGATGAAACGATAGTCGTCCCCATCTTCAAAAAGGGTCAGCACACAATCTCCTCCAAGTACGGAGGAGGAGTTTAGTCCGTCGTTTGCAAGCTGCTAGTGTCTATCATACTTCGCAGGATATCCCCAACACGCAAACCAAGCTGAGTTTCGCCCTGGTCGCGGCTGCATCGATCAAATCTTCACACTCCGCCAGATCCTCGATCTCCGCCATGTGCATCATAGACCAACGATTGCTGGGTTGTCGGATATCCGTGCGGTCTTCGACTGTCGATCGGACGGTACTGCGGCACTGCCTACTGAGGAATGGCGTCCCGGAGATGCTCGTCTCCATACCGCGCTCTCTATGGTCTGACCTCGGGCAGGGTTAGGACTTATGGCAAGCTTTCGTCTTCTTTTGTGGTCTCCAGTGGAGTTCGACAAGGATGTTTTACTTCTCCGTTCCTATTCGACTTTGCCATTGAGGATGTCCTGAAGAACGCTCCGGGCGATTCGTTGAACGCTGGCGTTGAGCTCCTCCCAGGTAATCGAGTTGTTAATTTGTATTATGCTGATGATATCGTCTTGTTGGGTGACGATTCACACGCCGTCCAACTTGCACTAAACCGCTTGGCGACCGAAGCATCAAAGTATGGTATGTACTTTTCGACATCCAAATACAAGACTGGCAGGCGCCTCTGCCTGCACTCACGCTTGCTGGTGAGACACTGGAGGTTGTGAAGAGCTTTGTCTACTTGGAAAGTTGCATCACTGCTGGCAGGGCTGTTGGAGACGAGATTTCGATGCGCATCTCGAGAGCACGCCTCGCTTTTTCTAGGCTGAGGCATTTGTGGCGTCGCCACGACATTCGTCTCTCCATCAAAAGGCGGGTCTATTGTGCAACTGTTCATGCTGTACTGTTGTACGGATGCGAGACCTGGCCCATTCGTAAAGATGACTTGCGCAGGCTATCCGTCTTCGAGCACCGCTGTCTGCGATCCATTGCCCGTGTGTGGTGGCAGCACCACGTAAGCAATGTAGAAGTTAGACAGCGTGTCTTGGGACGTGGAAGCCACTCGCTCGAGGAGCTCATCTCACTGCATCAACTGCGGTGGTTGGGACACGTATTGCGCATGCCTGTCCAGCGTTACCCCCGTCGTGCATTGTTTGCACTTGCTGGACAGGGCTGGAAGAGACGGTCTGGTGGACAGCCTACAACATGGAGAAGCCGCATGAAAAAGTTGACGAAACAATTGGCCTCGGCCGGTTGTTGTCGACTACCTGGTTGGGGTCCGAGAGATGAGGATACTTGCTGGTTGAAGACCTTGGAAGTTATGGCTCAAGATCGATGTCAATGGCGGACGTGTGCATCGGTGTGTTGCAGTGTTCCTCCTTCCTCCCCCCCAAAATAACTGGAAAAAATTCAAAAACTGAGTGGCAAACTGGACAAAAAAAGCTTTTGTTGTTTTTGTTATTTTTTTATTGTTCATACTGTTTTCCTATCCGGTCATGATTCCGACGGCACAATATTTGCACCACAGATTGTGTATTTTACATTATATATATATATATATATATATATATATATATATATATATATATATATATATATATATACATATACATTCCTACTTAATTTCGCCATTGGCGAAATCATGGAAACGGCGTTCATTGGACACGGTCCACAAGGTGTGGAGTTGTTTTCAGGTGATGGAATTCTTGGTTTGGAGTATGCCGACGGCATTACCCTAATCTGTCACAGTTCACAAACGTGCCAAGCAAGGGATAAATTGGCTCTGGCTGTCAATCGTTTTGTACTATGCTTTGCACCCTCAAAATGCACAGTTCTTCCCCAAGATTGACAGGACGCACTCTGCGTTGACCCTTGGCGGTGATCAGCTAAAAGTCGTCCACAAGTTCAAGTATCTAGACAGCTATATTAGCACCTGTGAAATAAAAGATGAGTTCATGAATCGTATAACAAAAGCTCGAGGTGCTTTCGCCAATCTTCCACCTGTGGTGCCGGAGTGAGATCACTCTAAAGAGCAAATTTTACAACGCAGTTGTACGTTAAACCCACTTGTGCGATTGCTAAACGTGGCCCGTTAGGTCGACAGACATAAGAAGGCTAGCTACATTCGAGAATCGCCGCCATCGCAGTTTAGCTCATATCTGGTGGGAACACCGTGTGAGCAATGGGCGCGTTCGGCGTCGTGTATGTGGTGCAGGAAGTGCGAGTGAACCGCTCAGCACCATTATATCATACACTAGGCTCTGATGACTGGGCCACGTGTTGCGCATACCAACTGGCTCAGGCGATGTGCGATGTTTGCGCGCCCAGGGTCTGGATGGAAGAGGAGGAGAGGCCAACCGATGACTTGGTCAAGAGAAATGAAGACTTCCACTGCAAACTTTGCATCGGTTAGTGCCTTTCAACCGCCGAGCTGGGTCCCCAAGGAGGATGAGCATATTTGACGTGGCAAAGAGCCGACTTTAAAGACGTTCATTTCGCGAGTTTCTTTATCCATCCCATGACCTTACACTCTGCATAATAGGATACTTAGGAATATATCATATGTTTTGAACTTTATTTCGTATTCTGCAATGTTTCGCAGCTTGCTTCTTCATGTATCTTATAGTATTGCGGCACAATAGCCGAGGTATTTCTCACCTTCAGCTAACGTGCAGTAATGAGGATGATGGTGAGTCCACATTGATGCGAGATGTTCTACTCGATCACTGCACCGCAAAGCGCAACTGGGAAACAATGCATGAAGGGAGAAAGCACCAATCAGCAGGAAACGCGAGACCTATAGCCCCGTGTGGAATTATCTGAGCTAAGACTCAAAGGGTGTTTGAGAGTGAAAATCTTTCGTGAAAATCCGTTATTTCCATAAGAAAACTATTTGAGCCAATAATACACAGCAAAAGCACAGAGCCATTTCAGGAACATTCAAGTCCATCATGTTACGCATGTACGAACCTCCTCATTGGTCGGAGAAAGCAACAACTGTTTATTGTTGTAGTTTACTTAGCTATTCCAAGTTGACGTTCATGGGTTGACCTACAAATATGTGTTAGTTTTCACACCATTTGTATCGATTCGATATCTGGTCTTTCAATATGCTTTTGTGTCGTGGTTACTGGACGGGATTGCAGTCTAGGGGGAATGAGACCGTTTCAACCGGAATCGCAAAAGAGGATCTAAAGAGGGATCTACGAAAATGATCAAAGATGGTATGCATGTGAATACCATTGCGGCAAGGACATTCTCTTTCACCTCCAAAGCGCTTTCGCTGTGAAAATGCACAGGAGCGGCGGAAAACATTCGGGAGTCTACGCGAGTGAACAGTTGCAAGCGACGTATCTCACTCACTTGGTTCATCAGCAGGAAGCGAGTGGCAGCGCACACCAATTGCATAGACAGTCCAACAGGAATGCTAGAGGATAACTTTGTTTCCAACTCTGAAGCACTGGAATGCAGTCCAGCGGCATGGAATAGGCAAATTTTGCATCGGCGAGACAGATCATTGAGCTGGAAACGACGAGTCGAAGAGTTCTTCTTTGTCTCATTTTGTGAATCTAATTCGGCTGCCGGATCCAACACCTCCTGTGAGCAAAAGCAGTACAAGATGTAACGCGATTGAGCAGTCATATCTGAACTACAAAGACAGAAAATGCACATGGCTTACCAACAATTCACTCAAAAGTAGTTCATGCTGGGCAGCAGCGCGTAGCAACTTGTAAGCATCGTTGGTGCGTCCAGGGTGCGAAGGTAAAGAATGTGAAATTGAGGGACTCGCCAATCCGTTCATGGAGACAATCAGTAATGGCCGAACGTGACTAATGCTGCAGGTCGAGTGAGATTGCAGCAGTAGAGCTGCTTTTGCCAACTGAACGAGGACTATGCACAATGTGGTTGGATTGGAAGCCTGGGCGAGTAGTGCATCCAGGGAATAGTCATCCTGTGTGTGAGGAAATATTGGGAAATATGAGGACGTTAACGGGGTAACAGACGAATTGAATGTCTGCCAGAGTGGGTGAGATTTTAGGCATAACGCAAGCCTGATGACTTGTGTAAACTCTAGTGTTCAACGCTATTGACGGGCTCGCAATCGGTGCCAGTTGAATGGCCTTATTACCGAAGTGCAGTAGATCCAGTGGAGTCATGGTCCGAATATTAGTATAGCGGAAAAAGTTAGTTGTGAGATGGGATGTGTGCACAAAGGGACACGAAAAAGATTCAGATGGAAATAGACCAGAGAAAAGTATGTGCTAAGCACCGAATGAAAGAGATAATGTTGGAGACAAAAGACTGAATGTAACAAAGCAAAACATAGAAAAGTTAAAGGCGAACTAGTAAACAAATTTCCAACCCAAGGATGATGCAAAAAACATCAGGTAGCACAGAACGCGCTATGTAACTCGATAAATAAGACAAACAGTGATGACCAAATGTTCAGTACTCCAGTATCAAGATTTGTGAATAATCAAAGAGAACATGAGGAAAATCTGTAACCAGTTAAAGCGGGCGAATCAAAATGCAAAAATACGATAGAATCGGGAAAAAGTTGTCATAAAGGAGCGCAAAGGAAATGCCCAATTCGGAATGAGGGAAGCACATGTGGAGGTCGCGTGTAACGGATAAAATTGGTGCTAACTAGTCTGGGAAGTTCATATGGAGGCTTTAATTATCAATATGCTTACAAGTGCACTATTATGGTAATCCTCCTTAAGTATTGGATTGCTTTCTAATCCGATGACCGCATGTGCACGTGACTGCGCTTATCTTTGAGAGCTTTTATTGAAAATTTTCGCTATTTTGTCATATCTTTGTACCATGTCTCTCTTGCCAGAGAAGGGCTTACAGAAAACATCCTAAGTCCAATACGATAAACGGAGTTGGTGCTGCCATCTCTTTTTGTTTCCCTTCAACTGAGTCGTCGAAATGACCGACAATGTTCCACACCTCCATTTGAGCTTAAGTTCATGTTCTGCTGGGTGACCGATTTTCAAGCTTAGAGGATAAGAATATAGCTCTCTTTGCTATGCAATCGCTACTCGAAAAACTGATGCGTAACGCTGCATGCGTTGCCATGTGTTTGCTTCATCAGGGTGTGAAGTGACATTACGGGATTATGTCGAATCATCATCAGCGTTAACTAGCACCGAACAACCACTTGGAATGATCGGTTTATCTATCCGGGCAACTGCACCACCGAGTAGATTTCTACACGGATTGCGAAGCCTCGTCGCCATTTATTGAGACGCCATGACGTAAGCCTATTGGCTAGGAGTTTCTATAGCTGCGATGGGGCGATAGCCACTGTACGGAACAAAGAACTGAGGATATTTAGTGACTAACAGTGTCCGAGCATTGGCGCCTGAGAAGTGTAGCTCACATCGGATGGGATCAACGGATGAGTAACAATGGAAATGTCCACCGAAGCACCCTAGGCAGCAAGGGTCGAATGGTTCGCAGGGCAGTAAGATCTTGGTTTCGCCTACACAATGACACTAGCCTATTTCCATTGTGCGAAAGATGTAGGATGACTGAGAGTTCCGTCCTTTGTCGTTGAGATACTCTTTTCACCAAGAAGCGAATTCGCTCTTTCCAGTTCTTCAGACGAGACTCAGAATGTTGGTTCACATTAAGTCACCTGCTGTGAACCCTAGCAGTGCTAATCTACCTGTGAGGTCAGGTAACGAAGTAATCCAGTCAAAAGCTGTACTGACTGGCTTAGGTTGGTGACAGGATCAACGTTTTGCCGATCACTCTATTCGAAGCTACACGACAGCGTTAGTAATATATGCCTTGGGTGCATGGAGCATGTGATTCCTCGGCTGCATAAGAGCTGTGTAACTAAAGGGTGTTGTTTGGTTTACAAAGGTTCGAGGTAGTCGTGGTGCTACAAGGAGTTACGCTGATACGAGCTGCATCTGTGTTTGCGGTCACAGAGATTTCTTGAGTTACGTACAGCAGAAATGCCGTTCACGTGATGTCAATGTTATCAACACAACCGAATTGTAAATCGACTCTAACGACTTGTGCAGCTGCGTAGAATTAACATCATAATTGAGCACACTAGTCCAGATTTAGTTAGGCTTAAGGTAACAGTCCCTTGTAAGCCCATGCTGTCCCATTTTCCTAGCAGCATTCAACGTTCGCACAGACATGTCAACAGGCTGCACTCGCGGGCACGTAGAGCACCATGGGTCTGTGTCTGCAACTAGGATAAATTAGTCTCACGGGATTGCTGAACTAACTGTACCCGGCTTATCCTCTCACCATTGAGTGAACACATCTGACGCTGATGTGCCCATCACTGGCGAAGTTGGGGTTGGCATCATTCTCAGTTCTAAAGCTGAACCATCGCTAGTTAAATGGACTTCCGTGAGTAGCCCTTTTTGTGCAGGCTGTACAGTGATATCAACTGAGATTACTTCAACAAGTAGCATTAGATGCTGTTTGTTTGTGGCTGCCGGTTATGCCCCTACCAACTTCACTGCTGATGCTGTCCATGACAACTCCCACTACGAAATGAACACGCTGGTACGCAGCGTTACTAGTCCATAGGTCGTTATAGTTGTAGCGGAGTAGATGCGCAAGTAGGTCGCCTGGGATTCTCGGAAACTCAGCTAGATAAGTAGTATGGATTTAAATCCGAATGGACAGACAATAGAAAGCGTCTGTTGTAAGTATTCTCCGAAGTGGAAATTGGCATTCATCTTTTAATGGTCAGCAGCAGACTACCACACACGACAAGTGTCGTGATTACATCTTGGACTGTCGACTCTGATTGTATCTTGACATGCTGCTGTTTTTCCGTGAACGTAACCGAGAGGCGTAACACACGTCCCCCACCCGATTGACAGACGAGAAGTTATCTCAGTTCTCGATCAGACAAGCCTATCAAGACGCCATGCGTACCGAACTCTCGCCCTATTGCTCGAAGACACCGAACTTCAGCGGATTAGAATCTCGGATTCCATGCATGATGCAGGAGCCTGTGCTTGCGGTATGATCAGATGTCACCGCACTAGTTATCGGATATACGAAAGGTCGATTAACCAGTTGCAAGTCGCAAGGAAACCCGCTGGTTTCTCAGAGCACAATGTGACGAGACGGACTATTAGCGCGAACTAAAGCGGAACCTATGCCCTGACAAGGAAACCTAGTGGACCGGTAGGGTTCGAGAAATGGAGGAGTCGGGCGCGGTAGACAATCGTCAAAAGTTGTTCCAGCTACCTACCATCACTTGTCGTAGGAACTCATATGTGAGAATCGGATACAACGTTGGTTCCCTGATTCAAAATAAAGAGCGCCAGCTGGCTAGTTTGGCGGAGCACTTTCGAGAGCAGTTCAGTTGGCCCCCTGCTTCTGAACCTCTTCCTACTCGGATGGTGCAAGCTGGATAAATCAGGGGCTCCATCGGAGGATGAGATCCGAAACAGGATCACAGTCCTCAATCGCTTTGGAGTTGCTGGTCCGCATTCCCCTGCAACAACACTTAGTTAACGACGGTGATGAGGTCCTTTGTAAAGCACTGACCCGGCTATCGTAACATGTCTGAAATAAAGGCACCATATCATCTAATTGGTGAATCGATTATAGTGGTAATGTACAAGAAGGGCAGTCACACTGAATGTGCTAACCATAGGAGTATTAGCCTAACGCCGGTGGTGATAAAATCACTGGCCTCAATTCTCGTTCAATGCCTCATTGCCTATCAGCGCGTCACACGTACCGCAGGTCAACAACAGTTGCGTTCTTCGATTTCAGAAGTGCGTTCGACAGTCGATCAATCCATTCTGCTCGAAATACTTGCACAGAAAGGTGTTCCCATGAAACACATGAACATTTTAAGTGCGTAATATTCGAACATCACAGATCGCGTCAAGGTCTACGGTGACTTGTCGGATGACCTTCCGATAACAAGTAAAATCCGTCGGCGTTGTCCAATTTCCCCATCTTCGTTGTTGACTCCACCATGGAGTGTTCGGTTTCAGAATCGCACGATGCACGTTTTGAGGTAGTGGAAACTTAGTTGATCTTGATTATGTGGGCGACATTGTTTTGCCGTTTGACGATGTTGAGGTGACCAAGTCAACCCTTTGGAAACTTTTCTATACTTTTTCTCAGTCAACTGAATCCACAGCACTTTCGAATTCCCCCTTAAGGATATCATGTTCCTTCATACATCTCTCAAGATGGTCCTAAATGCTTTCAAACGCTCCTAAAGTGTACGTACTGTTCGTTGAGTGACCAACCTCAAATAAGTAGATAGTATAACTGGTGAGTACACACAGCGGGATGCTGTTGACTGATTTGGGATTGGTCACATAATGAACCGTAGCATTTCGGGGCGTTTGCGCCTGTTGAATGAAGTTTGAAAGCGTTAAATACCATCTGGAGAGATATGTAAACGAACATGATATCCTTAAGGGAGAATTTAAATGCGCTATGAATGCAATGTGTTGAGAAAAAGTGTAGAGTGGTCCCATCGCTTGGCATGTGCTTCGCACTTGTCAAGTGCAAAGTGTTGTCGCAGGACCACCAGCCACTTGGTGACCCCTTGATAGCGAGAAATCAGAGGTAGTTGATCAATTAGCCTATATTGACAGCTGCATTCGTAACGATGCAATGCCGAACTATAAGAAGGTGTGAACCATCACACGCTACGATCGCTTAGCCCAAGTAGTCAGCGCCACTACCTGGTCACTTTACCAAAGAACTCCCGGAAGTCGCCTGGCTGAAGTTCGTCAACAAATTCAGTCGGCTGATTATAGATGCATCAGAGAGAAAAGTTTACAATGAGTCTAAATCGGTTTCTTTCGTTAGGAACAGAACTCGAAAATGGATGTTAGTTCGCAACGCAGCATGGCGGGTGTGTAAAGTAGCTCCAACACCAGAAATTTGAGAAAACTGCGCAGCCAAACGTAGCCACTGCACTCAACTGCTCAGAGAAGACAAAGCCGCACATCAACAGAATATCGCAAAAACCTTCAACATTAACCACAAACTGCTGTACAAGCACGTCAATGGCATACGAAAAGTGAAGCAAGGAGTTCCAGTTGTCAGAACGGCTGATGGCCCAACAAGAACGGCTATGGAAGCAACAAATGCGCTGCGGATGCGGAATGCCCCCAGGTTTCAGGGGTTCTTGTGGTCAAGCGATCTTCCAGATTTTGTCACGCCTCCGCCAGGACACACCCACATCTCATTTACCGCTGAAGCTGTTTTGTAAAAGCTGACTTCTCCACGCAACCACAACTTCCCGGGTGTCGGTACCGTTCGTCCATAGACGATGGGAGCTGTAGCAAGAAAACTGGTAGAGCCTTTGGCTCAGTTTTTCCAGCGCTGCTTAGACCAGAACCAGGTTCCTTCTACATGGAAGCGTGGAATAATAACTTTGATTCACAAAGCTGGAAGTAGTGATGTGGCTTCTAATTACCGCCCAGTATCCCTTCTTTCTACACTGTCCAAAATCATGGAATCCATCATTGTCTATATGCCGCTGTGCTATCTAGAAGACTGTAACATTAGTACCCCCGAACATCACGGATTCCGTCAACAGCCACCGTGCACAACGAATTTACTAATCGTACGGAGTAGTCAGACAGAGTCAGCTGATGTTAGAGAGGAGATTGATGTGATCTAACTGGATTTTTCAAAGGCATTAGATCGTCTAGATTATCGGATACTCCTTTCCAAGCTCCAGTATTGCAGGACCAGTGATCATCTTCTGAGCGAGACCGCCGACTTTTTCCTTCAACGGCAATTAGTGACCAGATTTCGGAGCTCTTTATTTGGCCCCATACAAATCCAGTGTGGTGTGCCGCGAGCTTTAGTGCTAGGTCCACGATTGTTTTTGGTGTTTATAACGACTTCGCCCAGACAAACGCTTCAAACTTCCTATTGTTTGTCAGCGAAATCAAGATTTGGCGCAGGATTCATGTGAATGCCGACTAGCGTCTGCTTCAGAGTGACCGAGACACGGTACATCGGTGGTCATTCCAAAATTTACTACATTCCAACGTGAGTAAACGCAAGGTACTCTTCATACGACATCAGTGAAACTATTCAAACATGCTAGGAACGGATGTACTGCAGCAATCTTCCACCGAACGTGATCTGGGTGTGCTGGTTCAAAGTGACTTAGGTTGTTCCAGGCAATCCGGAAAGGCCTTGAAAGCTGGTAACCAACACGTCGGGGTGTTGCGAAGGGTGTTCAGACGCTTAGTGCGTATGTTCGTCCTCATGTCAAATACGCAATTCAAGTCTGGCACCCATGGTTGAAACACGACCGTAATACATTGGAGCAGCCTCAACATCGGGTGTCCAAGGACAACACTGGAGTGTGCAATCTCCCATACGAGCAGAAGCTGAAACGATTTGGGGTTTTCAATGGGGGGTCTTGCAGATTACGAGAAGAGCTGATAATGGCATTAATTCTGCACGATCCACATCACGTGCGCTGCTCCATACTGCCACTCAGAAGTAATACAAACCTGAGAAGGCACTCATTGAAACTCGCAGAACAGTACAGCCGTCTAAAGTGCGGCAGGAATTTCTTTTCCATTCGTGTATGTCACCCATGGAATGCTCTCCCTGAATCGGTCATATCTGCACCGACACTAAGAATAGTTAAAAGACGACTGGATGACGCATTCATCCACCTACACTTTGTTACTTTGCATTATGTCTCCATCCTACTCCTGGACTGTAACTTGGATATATTTGGCATTACCTATGGGTGCTGTGAAAGTACGCGGATTGTAGGACTACAGTATAACAAATGATAAGTCCTTCCTTTCAAACTTTATGTACCAACCGTTTTATTATTACTTTTTCGACAACCTCAAGGAACAACCCAACTGGACCTGTAAAGCAGTGATTTTGAAAACGTATAAATTCATTGATGCGCATAACCGCTGAAGTCACTTCATGTACTGCAGAAGCTATGCTTTCTCGAATCTGCGAAACCTGAAGAACTAGAAGGAGCTTCCTCTCGTACTGAAAGGCCGTGTTCACAACGCTATAGTGAGGGCCGGCCTACTCTATGGGAATAAGACTTGACCCCCTCGGTTTCAGGTGCGTTCAGAACTTTGGTCATCGCTGCTTGCGAAGCATTGCTGGCATCGGATGGTGCCAGCGTGTTCGCAACGATGATGTGCGTAGGTGAGTACTAGGAGGTGATAATCAGACAAGTTATTCAGAACAACAGATAGCACTAAATAAATTGCGTTAGCTCGGACACGTGCTACGTATGCTCGGTCACCGCTTACCGAGGACAGGTTTGTTTTGTTTGCTAGATGTGAGGTGGTGAAATGCTCGAGGTGGGCAAGTGTTGGCTTTACAGCGGGAAATGAAGTCACTGACGACTAAACGCGGTGCTGTCGGTCCGTCTCGCATTTCAAGCTGGAGTCGACGTGACCCGCCTTGTGCTTGGTTTGATGTTACAGGATATGGCTCGCAGTCGACACATGACGCGTCTGCGGCCGTCTCCTAGTCGGACTGCTTGTTTAAAGCGCGTTTGATGCTGAGTTATCTGCGGGGCAGTAAAAGCCGCATGGGAGCTGTCTCGCTGATGCCGCCTTATCTTGCTACGATGGCCATCGGTTTGAGACCATGTTTTCGACGTGTAAGTGTTTCGGTCCTGAATGTATGCCTAGGGTACTTACGATGATAATTTTCCTGGTATGTAATTTCTGGTCATTCGGTGCCTCTTAGCATGTGATGACGCTTATATGAGAGAGCCTTAGCACTTGTCAGTCTACGCTCTGTCTCGTAGATGCGTTAGGACATGTGTGGAAACCACTCTCTGGGTAGACATTAATCGCTGTTGAGCCATCGGATGGAGTACAATGGCGCAGTTGCGACCACAGCACAGGTTGCAGAATGAAGGATGATGGTTTCTTGGACAGCTCTTTTATTAAATGTTTCCTTATGGGACCATATCTGCTCCCATATGCTTCTGTCTTTGTGGTATGCCATAAAAAGCATCTTGTTACATGACAAATCTCATGATGCGTACCCCCTAAGCAATCCAAATGGTCACACTGCTAAGGCTCAGCCTACATTTCGGTGCATGCGATGTCCCGACTAGGTGAGTGGTGTTATCTGGGTAAGTGCCCTGCATGATCCACACTTATCAATTCGTACTCTATCCTATTGTTAGATGCATCTGAAGCACACCGTTTTGCTTCGATTCCCCAAATGAACCAATGAGAAGACAGCGTCGAAACTACCACGAATGGAGATCCATGCGGGGTAGAGTCTTCTATCAACTCACATCCGACGGTAAACAATCTAGCCAAAATCTCATAAACACAGTTCTGGACTGCGGATGAACCAAATAGCGATGTGTGTGTGTGTGTGTGTGTGTGTGTGTGTGTGTGTGTGTGTGTGTGTGTGTGTGTGTGTGTGTGTGTGTGTGATAGACTCATAAAGCATGAACTCACTGAACCCAAGGGCAATGATGGGCCCACAGTTGCGCCAATGGTAAGCATCCGATGAATAGTTGGTAACCAGGCCGAGTTCAATTCCAGTATACGATTTGCAGGCATAAACGAAAGCAGGGAATTGATTGTGGTGTTGACTTCATTTGGATTGTAAGTTGTCAGTAATAGATGTATCAGCGCGCTATTGCTCACAACAGACGTGGGATCGGAGCATAACTCGTCACCTTGAGCGAAAGCCCGACCAAAGGGGGCCGAGCTGTTGGCGGAATGTTGGGTGGATTGGAATTCAAACGATGCAGAGGAAAGGTTCCGCATATCCACGTCTTGGCACGAATTAAATAAATCCTCGGGTTTGGCTACATCAAGTTTCCTGCCAATTATGCTATGACCGGCTATTTGTGACTTTATCCTGAACTCGCGAGCCAAGGAACCCAATCCAAATTGGACGGAAGGAGTCGGGTCAACAGATGATGGTGTGATTGGTATGGTGGAAAAAACTCCATCTGAGAAGCGGGATGCGGCGTTGTTAAGGTAGTAAGAGGAAACAGACCGAACAAAAGACTGACATTGGTTGGAAAGTAGAGGAAACTGAAACAGAATAGAATAATATCAAGGTTAAATACGAAGCAAATTGATATGAAATTGATATGACTTGAAAGATGTGTTCACACAGATGACCAACGGAACTTAGCAGAAAAGGCCGGTTTGGTGACACATATAGCAGTGGGTGAACAGATAGTGTCAAATAGTATTGAAGAAAGGACAATGGTTGGTCCTCATCAATTGGACCCTCAAATATTGAATTGTGCACACACACACACATACACACACAGTTCAGACATCAGAATACGACTGGTCGACTTAGATATCCATGGTGATAATGTGTCCGAATGCGGAAAGCGCAAATATCCATTCAGTAAGTAAGACTTGGAAGTAGTCGTTAGCAACTGGAGAGAGGACTACATTTGCGGATGACTGCAACGTTGATGAAGTGGCCCGACGTAACACCAGATCGTTAACATGACCTACCGATAGGATGGGGTCCGGGTCATCGTGGATTCATAATGGGTAGCCTGAGGGTCAACGCTTGTGTTAAAAAATGGCAATGCACGGGACAATTGTTGAATAGCGCGCAAAAAGCCCTTCGGATTCAGCCCCAGTGACAAGCCCATCCAGGCGGGAAATCCGCTACCTGGTCCTGAGCCGTACTGGATCTAGTTATCCATGTGGCGTTTCGGGAACAGTGTAATTTTAAATCCCTTTGCAGTGACCGTTAGGCGTATGTGGTCCATTTTTTTCCAGTAAACCAATACAAGGCGCACGATGTGCGGCATGCATAAACATACAGCTGTCACGATCTGACGAAATCTCATGCCTCAGGGCCCATAACTGCCTGTTGCAGCGAGTTAATCGTGACAGTCCAGTTTGCAAACACAATGCATCTATGCTGAATTGTCTTCAATGAATGAGGACAGCACCTTAATTCTCATCTTTTTTAGGCTTGCCTTAAATCCTGATGGCATAAAATAAATATCATGTGAAGTAACGAGCGCTTCGATGTAATTGAGTAGTGCCAGACCATCGGAAGATGACACCATCCTTGAGACTCAGGTAAATATATAATATAGGAGTGAACGGATAAGAGAACGAAATACAACCCACCAAATAATGCGAGAGCACAGCGTACACTATTCGTGTAAAAGTATTCCTGATGGTGGTCGATTCGGGATGGATCGATGATGGGGCTGTTAAACTACTCCCCAGTAAGATAATTCCTTGGTGGAGTAGATGAATCACAAACTGCTGAACGAATTGCCTTCGATCATGAAACGCTTTGATGTTTCGCGTCGATGCAACTTGCAAAAAGCGACCCAAGCAGTCCAGCAGAAAGTTCGCCCCGAATAAAGCATCAATGTGGCACAATCCGTTGTTCGTATCTGAGTTCTTCTTTGAAGACACGACGGAAGGTGTGGTCAGTAACAGGGTTGCTAAACGAGCAGGCTCAGAGAAGTGCCCATTAACAAGACGTTCTATTGTATTGCATACAAGAATCTGAGAATGAGGGAGAAACAAATGGAAGTAGAAGGTGGAACTTTTTCACTTGCCTACACCTCAATGGCACGAAAATAAAGTATGTCAATGGACGACGGTACCCGAAATCAATGGAAAGGTTTCAACATTGGTGAGAAACTTACCTTGGTATACAGTTGCTGAGCTGCGGCAAATGCTCCCGTTCGGCTCGTGTCCACCAATCTTTCGGATTTGAATTGCTTTCTGTGCGGTGAAGTGTCCTTGGAAGAGCGGTTTGATTCAAACTCAAAGTACTCTAAACAAAGCCGTTCCAACTTAGTCCGCAAACTGTTGCCAATAGGCATAACTAAGTCAAGGGATTCAGTGTTTTCTCCTAAATGCAAGTCTTCCAACAACAATTGAATCAAGTGGTCTTCTACAGTAGGAGTTATTGACTCAGACTTCCCCGATAAAATAGCCGAGCGAAGGGAGTAATCGAAGTCGTTGGGTTGGCTGCTCAGCTGTTCTGTCCAGAAAATAGAGTCTGAAGATTCGTCACAGTTCAAAGCTAGCTCTAGCTTCTGGCAGAAAGCCTCGATAAACTTTCCAGGATGTGTGCTCAGCCGGGCAAGGTTATCGCACGCTTGTTCTGGTTTTTGGGATTTGCATGCCTTTAAATACACCTCAAGGAGATGCGGTGTCGCTCCAACTTCTTCAACATAGTCAAGCTGCGAATTTGAAACATATTAAAGAAGCTAGTGACCAGTGCAAAGTGGGAGAATAAGTAATCAAAATGAACTCAAGCGACAGACAAATTAGTGAATCGGCCCGTAGCCTAAAGGTAACAAGCTCGTCTTGGAATCTGGCGGCGCGGGATCTAGCCTGCGTAGGGGCAGGGCGACCCTCGCAGTATCCTTAGCCCATGTGCGACTGGTGGTTGTGCGGCAGTGAAGCGTCGGTACTGCATACCAGCGCACTGCTGATGCCTTTTTTGGTGAGTCGAGAAAACAGTGAGGCACACAACAACGAGTAGTCACATAACAAAAATGAAAATTTCGTTAATTAAGTCAGGATGCAGAGCGTATAGTCCTACAGTCATCTGATGTCACAAATGGATGTCGGAGTGCGCTATAGAAGCAAATGTTGGTAGCTCAGGTTGTTCAGTTGGTTATCTGATTGTTCGCTGAGCTCGGCAGGTTGACTACAAACGTTTCGTCACCACTGGAGGTGACATCGTCAGTGTGCGTGTATTTAGAAGAGTGGCGCGTACGAAGCGTCAGTGAGTGTGAGTGATCGATATCCTAGCCGCTAGTCTGAGTTTGGATTATTCGACGAGCACATGACCATAGAAATCGATCTCTGGTTCTCACCGCGTAGTGTACGCGCGTGTGACTCTTCGCTTGTCGTCGATTGATGCCGTAGTCTAGCGCTCTGTTCCGTTAAATCTTTCATCCATAGTGCTGTGTATATGGCATCTATTTCGAGGTGTCGGTTTACTGAACTGTCGGTAGAATACCATGCTTCCAAGAATTCTCTAGCTTGCCTCGTCGAATAATCCAAACTCAGACTAGCGGCTAGGAGATGGATCACTCACACTCACTGACGCTTCGTACGCGCCACTCTGCTAAATACACGCATACTGACGATGTCACCTCCAGTGGTGACGAAACGTTTGCAGTCAACCTGCCGAGCTCAGCGGATGTCTGAGTTTATCATGTATAGCTAATGGAATCAAAAAGAGAAAAGTTTCGAACTGGAACCATACCTTTGCGTCGATCATATCTGAAAACGCCATAAAAAGGAGCTCCTCCGCTCGATCAAATTGCTGTTTCTGAAACGCATGCCGTCCCAATACAAAATTCAGGAAGACCGACAAACGAGGTTTGGAAAGTGGTTCGGAATGCAACGTTAACAAGGTTGAAGTGGTGGAATTTGTAATTTCAGTTGGTAAGCAACCGGAATTGGCTGAAATATGGGACAACCCGGGACCCGCAATTGGGAATGACTTAGGAAGTGGCCTGGCTACGCTCAAACTGTCAAGATGAGAGAGGATATCGGTTAGCAAAGCTACAGATTCCTCAATACGACCCAATATGACACCAAGTTCCATACGATTTTCAGCGAAAAATGCTGAATCGGGGACTTCAGTAAGCCCAGCGACAGTTGGAGTTAGGTTTCGAAATGGATGTGGAAGCAAATTCGAAGTCAGGAAAATCTGTAAATGTTAAAGCTAAATGAAACGCAAATACCTTACCTGAAGACACCATAGGTGGTACGACATGAGAGCGTAGATAGTGGTACTATGCAGAGTACTCCAAGTGAAACTACTGTATGGATTTACGATGAATATGTTATCCTTGTCAGTCGCTTGATCAAAGAAAGGCAAGAGAACGGAGGAATTCTTTGACATAAAGGTAACTAAGGCACGATAAAGCCTTGCTTGCAGTCTCACAGGAAGTTCGCAGGTGATGGTGAACAAATTCAGGCTAAATTTAAGTGAAGCAGCCAACTGCAAAGCCAGAGCGTTTAGTATGGCAGATTTTCTATACGGCAGACTCGAATCCGGTTCGTAATCAAATATACTCTGGTCACGGCCACGCTCTACAACCGTGGAATCCACCTCGCCTGAATGTTCAGTCTTCGTAATAGCAGTGAGCACAGCCTTGCGATCCGTCAGCTCAGCTTGTGATAGAAATTGCCTCAAAAGGGACAGCTGATCTGACACGGATAATCTGTCCGCATCCTCTGAGAGTTTAACCGGATTGACCAAATAGAACAGCCAGTTCCGATCAAATTCGGTTGATGAATTAAGCATTTTTATCTAAAAGGCAAACATCCGTTTGGACAAATCACAGGTATACTAAGTGGGGTGCTTTGAAGATAAATGAAAGTAGTACCTCATGAAAGAGATGATTCACAAAAGCGTCTATCGCTCAGTGGCTACCAAGCGCCATGCGCAAGCAGAATACAAAAGAAGGTTGGGTGTGAATTCGCTCCGTCGGTCAGAAGTCTGGCGTACCAGTACACAATACACAGAAACGCATGTTTGCAACAAGACAGAAAAACAATGCCCACTTTATACATACCCATTAGAAGACATTAGATTCTAACAGAACAACCTGTTAACCTCCGCCAAAGAACACCGTTTAAATCAAGCAGACCTTGGTCATATTTAAAGGGTAGTGTTCCGAGTTCAAGTTCAAGGAGACTGAAACAGTAGGGAATTCTCGTGTAAGTTCCTTCGTGAAAGCGTCGTTGATCCAGGGTATTTATCGACCGCAAAATCGGCAATCTTGGAGAGCCAAAGCAACACGCAAGAACTACACTATGAGCAACTAGTCAATGTCCACGTGACCTGCACTAGTAATCCCCACTGCGCCGGCCACGTGAAGTAGGAGTAAAAATATCAAGTAACGAAAAGCCGGAATTAATTGGAAGTGGAAAAGTATGGACGGTGATAATAGTTAAGAGTAGGTTTTAAGATGTGAAAGGGTAGAATTGGAACTGCAGCCCAAGTGCAACGAGTCTATGCTCAAACTCGTTCACTATTTGTGATGACACCACTACTCTACGTGACAGTGGAACGTTGGTCTAAACCCTATCGGACCGTGGTACGTGCAACTTCATCGAATGATCACAGAGAGATGGTAGTAGGGTTGGCTCAAAAAGCCAAGACAAATCCGAGTCAATCATCCATGTTAGAATATGATAAGTCAGAATCAAGTCGCTCATGTCCTCCAAGCAGATAGCGTGTGGGGGGATCACTTGACCCTAGCGTGGTACTGAACACTTGGCATAATTAATAGGCATCTGCCACAGAGTAGACCAGTCCCAAAGTCTAGCAAGGGCCTGTTGTAAGCCCTGGGGACCATCGGAGTTGGTCACTGGGAACCAAAATTTCAAGTCATCCGCAAACATGAGGGACGGTGTAATATGCGTCCGGTTGAGGGTTCCGAAGGCTTCCGTGTCCATGTGGATCGTAAGAAACCGAGGGGGCTGAAAGGCAAAAGGGATACTTTGTAAGCGGTTGGACAGTTACATCGCAACGACCTAGTAGGTTGGAGCTGGATGGAGGATGTGCCTGTGTTACACCTCGCGACGAGCTGGACGGCACTGTCACAGCTGCTGATGGAGGACTGAGCGTGAGGTAACTGGATGAATTGCGTGGAAACACGCACGAGGGATGGCTGCTCTAACGATACTGAAGACGAAATGGGAAAACAAAGAGAAAAGGACAATCACAATCTAGGCTAGGCTCGTAGACATCCTACCTGTTGACTTGCTACAGTGACACTGACGCGCTCCAGACGGTACGCCTAAAACTTCGGCAACTCAAGTTCAATTAAACAGGAACGATAGGAAATTTCCATGCGCGTTCCTTACTGCGTCGTTGAACCAGGATAGAGTACGTGGAGTTGATTCGAAAACGAAAAAAGTCATAGTAATAAGCTCAAAACACCACGGTCAACCAATCAATACCCAGGCGGTTTGCACCAGAAGTCCCCACTGTACCGGCCACGTGAATAAGAATAAAGGCTAAGCGGATGGAAGAAACGAAAACAGAATATTGTTGAGGTTTCATCCCAATATTCCACAAGCTACATAGCCTAGTCCGAAAAAGCACCAGACGCGTTTCGCCCTATTGGGGTTCGTCAGTGGTGCGCATTCTCTCAGTCCTCTAAGGAGGATCGAACCCATGACCGCTAGAGGCAGATGCCAACTAGCCAGCAGCTTAAGTCGCTGAGCTCAGTGTTCCATGAATCGAGGATCCTGCGTGATAAATGCAAATCGGCTCTAACGCGATCGGATCAGTGAGCACAAAGAGATGGCATCTGAGCCCGATGGAGCAGTCGTCAGATCAGGCCCAACCTTGCTGGTCAGTATACGGTACGTTTGGATCAGGTTGCTTCGAACGCACCTATAGTGCAGCGGGAACATCTGCAGCCTGACCAGCCCATCAGGATAGGAGAGCTGCCTCAATCCTTGCACCATTTTCGAGCCAATCCTCAGAACTCGTTCGACTGTCATCTTGTCGCGGACCATACATGGAGGACAGGCCTGCATGCGGTATTCCAAGTATGGTCTGAGAAACGCTGAGAACAATACGACAAACATTACATTTGTTATGATGCTGAACGACCAGCGGATCGTCCACAGCATTCGGAAATCTTTGCGAGTAGCGGTCGTCCAGTTCTCGCTAGATTTGTAGTCAGAGGACAGCGAAATACCCAAGTTGATTTGTTGAGTCACTTGTGACACTACATCTTCGCCATGTACATAACGAGTTGTAGGAATGCTTGATCATACGCGTAGGACCGAACACTTGGCCAGATTTATTGGCAGCTGCTCCAAATCTGACCACTCTCAAATCTTGTCAAAACTGTCCGCAAAGCCACGCGACCATCAGAAGCGCTCATTATATTCCGAAATTTAAAGTCGTCCGCGAACATAAGGGATGGTACCTTAAGCTTCCCAGGGCGGTTAGTAACACAATGTAAACAGTGCAAGTCCAAAAACCGAGCTCCTAAGGAACACAACTCAGGGCGGCTTGTCTGGAAGACAGCCCGGACCCAACTCGAACACTCATGTGAAAATCTTCCATGAAAGCCGAAATCAATTTCATTACAATCTGAAACGCCGTATGATTACAGTTTAAAAAAGACCACAATGCGGGACGATGTCAAAGGTTTTGGAAAAGTCAATGAACAAAACATCCATCGCCCGTCCGAGGTCTACAACCTCAGCCCGGCATTCTCGGGCTACCAACATGTTAGGCAAACAAGAGAATCCAGATTGAGACGGGATGAGCGAGTTGAACGTAGTCAAGTGATTTTTGAGAGCATCTCTTACCAGCCTCTCTAATAATTTAACTAGTACACTTGTTAGACTAACCGGTCTGTAAGGTTCAAGTAGATGCTTATCACCCTTTTTGAAAACAGGGCACACGGTAGCATCTCTCAAGTCGGCAGGTAGGGAGCAGCTACGAAGGGACTTCTAAAAAAGACGTGTAATCGATCTACACAAGAACAGCCAGCTCGTACAAAAGCTGGGATGGATGGCATCTACTCCGACAGCTTTGGTGGAATTCAGAACTAGCAGGAGCTTGAGCACCTGAGCTTCCGTGATGAAAAGATCCGTCAGGAAGGAATACACTTGGATCTTTGCCTCTAGGTCGATATCCGGCAACGAAAATTCGTGGATAAACAACCTTGCATACTGTTCCGTATGTAAGCGGGCCTTGTTCTGATCGGTGGATGCTTCAGTGTTGTCATGCCCAAACAGGACGGGGATATGCGAATTTGCATTGTATCGCCATTCGACGTATCCAAAAAACCGTTTCGGGTTTGTTGATGCGGATCGAACCAGCTCCAATTCATAACTCAGACGTGCGGCCCGCAGATGCTGTTTAGATGACTTTCGCACGCCTCGGTACCAATGATAGCACTTACCGAGGGAGCTGATACGTAAGTCCGACAACATCTGGATCGCCTGGTGAACATCTGCGCGCCTCAGAGACAAAGCAATGAGGTTTTGTCCCCACTTTATTCCTCACTGCGATTGAGATATATGGAGAGAAATCCCATAAAGAAAGGGTTTGAATTTGACCCAAGCGGCTTGGACGGTATCAGCCTCCGAGATGATGCAGAGGTAATTTGCAGCCTTGTCCCTGATGACTTGAAAAACTGCGTGCCAGATATTTTGGCTCCTGGTAACACATAGGACTTAGGACGCAATTGAATAATAGGCACGTGATCGCTAGCGCCCAAGGTAGAATCGTAAACTACACCTCGCATAAGGTCTATCGACTTTGCAAAAATAACATCCAAAAGGTAGGGTTTGGGGCTTCTAATGAACGGGAGCGATTGATTGCACGTCACGTCAGGTAAGATCAGATTCCAAAGACGAAATAAACTCACGCCTAATGAGCGTCCTGCTTTTTGTAGTGGCAAGCAAACCAGGGCCTCCCGTAATTTGACGGTTATGTTGTTGCCCTTGCTTTTGCAAAAGGGTAGAAAAAACAATAGCAACCGGTGTACTTTCTTGGATCATAGACTACGAGGTTTAACAATTGTTAATAAACTTACAAAAATTCCAGAAAATCCAACCAACACTTAGCTAAACCTTTTTGAAAGCTTCAACAGTGGTACTTCCAACCAAGGCTGAAGGAAGCTTGTTCCAGCTGTAAACTTCGCGGTTCGCAAAGAAGTTGGCTTTAATTTATAGCCTGGACCTCTTGTACTTAAGTTTAAATCTATGCCCCTGCAGGTGGTCGGAGGCAGCTATTTCAAACAGGTCGGAAGGCCTGATACCACTGAGGCCCTTCATAATTTTGTACCTTACTATCAATCTGCGTCGTTTCATGGAAGAATACCCTAGACTCTTAAGGCGTTCATCAAATGACTTCCCACGCTGGTCCTCTATAATCCTAGCCACCCATTTTGGACAATTTCTATGCAAACAATATCCTTCCGGAGGTACGGTGTTTGAGACTCCACACAGTATTCTAAATGAGGCCGTGCCACCGTATCATATAAGGAAGGAAAAGCTCAGGTTTTGTGTTGCATAACGCTCTCCTAAGGCGGAATATCTCCTGCCGCGTTATGTTGGCTGCGTGCTAACACTGCGCTGAGGTTTAAAGTTATTCATCACAATGATACCCAGATCACGTGCTTTATCAACGCAACCCAAAGCAAGGTACCTGTCAGATCTTCACGGTTTCTCGCTATTCTGAATTAAACACCCAAAAAGTTCTCCGCAAAAGTTCTAGCCCAGCCGAAGAAAAAGCGAAAGTCCAACGACCATAACCGCGAAAAACGTGTTC